AAGAGTGAGTTAAGTACTACTTGACAGTTTGCTCAATAGAAGCTCTGTAATATCACCTCTCCTGGTCTTCTTTGATATACAACCAGCCATCTGCATCGACAACTTCTCTCCCTCTTTAATAAGTTGTAAATTGAGCAACATAATTCTTCCCATGTCTAAGAATAGTCAGCCAAAATACTGTGCTCAGAAGTTGGCTGGCTGTGTGTTATAACTTGTCTGTCATCACTTTCTTTCATTATGATCCTGTGGTTGATTTTTGCAGACTTTAAGGACCTATTCACTAGTGATTCCCTGCATTTGGGTATATGCTAGAGGTTATTCCGTGTTTGTGTTAGACCACAACGTCACATTCCACAACTGTACTGGTGGTCACTAAGCATGCGAAAGGGTCACTTAGGGCCTTGACCAAGACCCCTTCTGTGACACCTCTCTTTTCACAATTGGTAAGATTGATCAAATTCTTTGACTTTTTGTCTGCCGTGTGTTACTTCCTAGAAGTGGCCCATTCTTGAACTGCGTGATTCACTTTCCTTTCCTTGTGAGTGTGTCTGAAATGAACTCTCATGAAGGCAGAAAGTCCAACGAAAGAAAGGCCCTTCCTTTAGATGATCTTTTATCGCTCTTTGGAAAGGCAATGGACAACGTTTTAAAAAGCAAAGTCTTTGTTAGCGGGAACATTTATAAAGAGGATGGGTATCTATGTGAGCTGGGGGACTGGAGGAGACACTTTCTAAAACTTTTCCTGAAGTCGAGACTGGTGGAGACTATTCTCCGACACTTAGCTTAAGGTAGGGAAACCAAAGGAAGCTTAATAAATGTACACAGAAAGTTTTTGATTGGCTATCATTATTATCTGACATTTATTTGAAAAAGTAGAAATGTTCTCTGTTGGTTTTCTTGCAAGAGTCATATGGGATAAGGGTTTTGTTTTGGAACCCGAGAAGAACAGTTCGGTTTGCTTGGTGTGTGGGCAATTATTTGCAAGAGTGATAGATACTGCAGATTCTCCCTTTGGGCAGCGTGGAACTGGTTTATTGTTTCAGGAAGGAGGTAGGTGGCACCGTATAATCTAAGGCAAAGGTAAGATGTGCCAGATATGCAAAATCACCTCCCCACATATTTATGAAGAACTGTCTTCTAAAGGCCGCAAAAGCAGCTAATCATCACCTCTCCTAATTGAGGTGGTAAACAACTCAGGTGTCGACCAACCGGCAGAGCAAATCTGTGGGCTTGTAATTCAAGTCAACTGTGCAGGGAGGGGGCAACTAGAGGAAATAAAGTTTCATTTCCCATTAACTCCCCTGACCTGAATTAAGTTTGGAACTGAGGAGAACATCTGCAAAAACAGCAGCATGCAAACTTCAGAAGGATGGGACCGTGCTGGCCCGTGTAACCAGCAGCCTGAGGGCTGAGCACCGTCTGGTTATTGTATAGTAGGAGTGGAAAAGCCTTGGGGGTGAACCCTAGCTCTAGGGTTTTAGATAGCCTCCACGTAAAGAGGACAGCCTCCGCTCAATATCACACCGGTGTCACAAAATAATGTGGCTTCTACCTGCCTGAACACCGGAGACCCTGACGACTGGATGGAAAGAAGAAAACCTAAATGTCCGTTCTCAGAGAAGCGTTACTTCTCAGAGAGTCATTATTTCATTGACTCGATTAGTACCAGCCGTCTTCAGTGTAATCACAGGACCATTTAGAATATATCAAAGACTCTCAAAATATCACCCCTGAGATTGACTATGGGCCTTCATAAAGTGGGTAATAAAGAGACTTTAACCATGAATGCTCTGATTCATGTGAATGTGGATTACGAACCCCAAATAATGGGAATGATTCGTATATATGTAGAGGTTTCACGTGGCAATACCGTGTAACTGTGGGCATGTTCCTCAACGTGTTCAACCTGGGTTTCCTGATCTCGGGAACGGTGGTCCCCAGGCCTGTCCCGTCATACTCTGGAGCCTCTTGAGACCAGTGGACTGTCAATCAGTTACTATCTGCATTCTTGCATGCAGTTTGTAAGAAAGTCAGATAATACTGGAGACCAGCAGATGCCATAATGGTAGAGTTGCTGGACTCCCATGTAGTCGATCCTGGTTCAAGTCCTGGACCCAGTGGCTTAAAATTCACACGGAGTGTGACTGTGCATGCCCAGGAGCCTGAGAGGAGAATGGAGGAGAAGGGATTGTGGTGTGGCCATCCCCCCTGGGTGGTGATTTCTCACCTTCTGTCTCTCTGTCTCTCTGTCTCTCTGGTGAGCACATGCACTCTATAGCGAAATCCTCTCTCTTAAAAAAAAAAAGAAGAAGAAAGAAAGAAAGTCAGATGATGCAAGGAGAGTGGCTGAGAGTCAGAGTGACCTAGTCTTCTGCCAGCAGCCTTTGTGGGGGCAGTGTGTGTAGGAATGCCACTGGCTGCCCTGCAGGTCCCAGCTCTCCTGGACTCTGCAGCTGACTGAAAGCCCGCATCCACTGAGCCGTGGCCAGCCCTCTGTGAGCCAGCCTAGCCAACATAAACACCCAGAGGGTTCCGACTCTCCAGTGTCTTTCAGAAAATAGGGCCAGGAGCTCCATCTGGCACTCCATTTGCTAAATGTCCCATTGATGTCAAATAGCAGGAAATGTGGCTGTTTAGAATCCCAGAGAATAAGATTTCTACTCAGCAGCTTTCTAATGGACATACACCCTCCGCTGAGCGGTCTGGTCACAGACTCGTGCTCACGAGCTCGCTGGGCCTCTGCTGAGATGTGCGAAGACGAGGAGGAAATGGACTGCGCTGGATGCCAGTAGAGGGCAGTGCTGCCTATCCGCAAAGCCACAGGACAGCCTAAGGGGACCACCAGACCCTCACAGGCCCGCTCCAGCTTAACGAACAGGAGCAGTGAAAGCAGACATCCCAGGAAACATATGGCTTCTGGTTAGGGCTCCTTATTGCTTCATCGCTGCTTTGATGGTTACGAAGCCTTCATAATCTTTCTTTTTGCTCCCTCCCTTTTTTTTATTTGTTGGTTTTTTGTTGTAGGGCGTGTACCCTCACCAGAGAGAGAAGGAAAGTGAGAAATCATGTCTGAGGGAGAATGGCCACACTACAATCCCTCCTCCATCCTCTCCAGATTTGGGCATTCACACACAAGCTCCTGGCTTATTTTTCATGCTACGTGGTCCAGGACTCGAACTGATAGTTAGCCACGTGGGATCCAGTGCCTTAGCCACCATGCCATCTGCTGGCCCAGGGTTTCATAATTTTTGAAAGTCCTTATTCCTCACCTGTACTTTCCTGCAGACTGCCAAACCCATTACTCTTCCTTTTCAGAGGACAGATCTAGAAGGGTGACTGTATCGCCGGAGGTCAGGCAATCCAGAACCAGCCAGAACTGGAGAGAAAACCCAGGGTCCTGCGTCCTATGTTGGGAAGACTTCAGGAAGGCGCCTGCCACCTCTGAATGAAGAACATCAACAGCCTTCCTTTGCTCTTGATTCAGTAGGGGTGGTTGTCTGGCCTGGTGGTCGACCAGGACTTCATAGTCAAGACTCTGTCCGCACCACCCTTGCCTGCTGGTTAGCTCAGTGAGAGTTGGTAAGTGATAACCAAACCAATTAGGCCCATGTCTTAGACCAAAGAAGGAGCTAGGGAGGAATGGGAAACAGATACATAAAACCCAGGCAAACAGTATGACTGAGTCTGATGCTCTGAGATACTCGTGCTTCCCCCCTCCGGCATTCCCTCCTGACTTTTGCATAACTGAGAACAGATTGTCCTGAGCTTGGAGCTGTCAGCTCCCTCTCTTGCACTCTACTGCCATTGACCTCCACCTCCTGCAGAATCTCATTTTGCATCCCACATTCTGAAGGCATTAACTCATATTTCTGGCCAAGCACCTATCGGTTTGGTGTCAACTGCACACACAGTCTTGCTGCTTCATTCATGGCCTAGTGACACGTTCTATTAGGTAACGTGTTGGCAGTCGAGGAAGACTCAAACCCCCCCTGTTATGTATGAAGTGTCATCTCTAAAGTGAAGGCTATTTCTTGCAAAATGGCGCTGATAAATTGATAAATGAAACCACTGACAACAGCCCTGTAACAATGTGGTATCCCTCATTGCCAAGTTCTTTCTAAAACACTGTTAGGCAAAAGAAGGCCTTGTGGCCTGAGTGGGCACCTTCACATATTTCGGAATGACAAATTAAGATAACGGAATTTACGGTCAGGGCTGGATGGTAAATGTGTCCTTATTACTCTTTTTAATGGGGTCTGGCAAAGCTTAAGGGTCAGGCCCAGATGCACGGCGCATGAAGAAGCGGACTTATGCGGTTTGGGACTGTGAAAAATTCATCTCTCTGGTGGTATCTCTCTGTCTGGCACCTCATCCAGCTACCCAGAAAAGACGGTTGGCCCCCAGAGAGGCAAGTGTTACTTTCGCTCTTAGTAAGCCCTGTGCCAGTCTTGGGGCAGTCGGAAAGGGTGGAGGAAAGCACGGTGCTTTGATGGCTCTGGCCTGGTCTCAGATGACACACCCAAGAACGAAGGGTGTGTGCCCACATCCTCTCCACTGCAGCTGGGTGGCTGGTGGCAATCACTTTTGCAAGAGCTGGTGTATACGGTGCCCGCCATTGCTCGCGCCAATTAGAACACTGCTGGATATCGACATAAATGGGGCATGTGCTTACTGGTCTTGGACATATCTTAAATCAGCATGGGAGATTCAGAGACCGCTATAAAACCATCTGGGGCCCAGCTGCTACGGTGCAGCAGGAAAGCACAGGGCCCTGCAAGGCAGGAAGCCACATGTTGATCACAGGTTCGTATCCCTAGGTCATCCTGAAATCATTTTGAGCACATGCCCAAGCTCTCAGGATTGTGAAGAGCTGGAGGATTGAGGAGAAGGGTTTGCAGCATGATGAAAGTCTGTCAAGGGTTCATTCTCTCTGATGTGCGCACACATGTATGCAGATGAACTCCCTATTGAAGAAAACAAAAACCACTGTTTGGCTGATGGTGTGGTATTAAGGCAGCTGGATCCCACTTGGCAGACTGCATAGTTTGTGTCCAGGACCCAGTAGCTTCAAAACAAACTGAAACAAAACAAAACAAACTGAAACAAAACAAAACAAAAATCGTTTGGCCCAAAGTTTGAGCAACTTTCTCTGATCCAAAATGGCCCTGTATCCAGCTGCCTTGAATACAGCCAACTGTTTCACCTCATCAGATGCCAGGCAGAAGAAAATTTAGAGATAATGTGGTCTTTCTCTCGAGTTTACCCACAAGGACTGAGACACAGAGACACGTTGAGCCTTTTGGCCAGGTTGTGGTGATGTGCGGGGAGACTAGATCATGCCCGAGGATCAGAGGCTTCTCCAGGCACTGCTCAGCAGAACCTCTCAGCTTCTGGGCTTGTTCTGTGCAGCTCTTCGAGTTGCTGGGCAGTGACGTGAATGCACACGCATTCTGTAACTGCCAGGATGCCGGTTCAATTCCCTCCACACACACCTGGGATTCAGATTCCAGTTCCCATGGGTCATTCTCAGTGGAGCACGGTGAAGATAAATAGGAATCTTTGCTGTGTCACAGAGGCACAATCTCCAGTCACTGCTCTTTCCTCTCTGTCTTCCAGCCTCAATTCAGCCATTGACAGGCACGCTCCTGAGAAAGTCAGTTTACTAAGTAGGAATAACTCTCAACCTCGTTCTGCATGTGGGACTCCACCCCTGCCCTTTCTGGATCAGCAGCCCTTCTCCTGGCTTCTGTTCAGGACATAGAAAGATGCATGGGTCTTGCTGTTGGCCTTTATCAGACCCACCCGGAGGTCTGCCATGGAGAGGAAATGTGAACGCGTTCCTACTTAAAACAGCATAGGTCATTAAAGCAGAGAACTTGTTCTGTTGCTCCTCTAGGACTAGGCCAAGCAGAATCCTCATGCAAATGGCTTCTCAATGAAGAGGTTACACAGTATTTATAAAATCTTTAAGATCTAATATTGGGTCATCAGAAAAGTCATGACGTAGTTTTCTAACTTTCTTTGTAAAAATGCTTCCTGACTTTTCCGATAACTCAATACTTATACTATTCATTCAACAGAACTCACTTGTAATTGTCCTTTAAGTATAAACACATGCAATATGTTTAGACCAACAAGTGGGACTTAATGTATTTTTTTTTCTGATTCTGACCACAACAAATTTTCTACCATTTTTCTAGAACTAGAATAATTAAAGTCAATGACAGCAGTGAAAAGAAAATACACTGTGTGGCTTTCTGTTGGGCCTACAATCTGTGTTATTTATGTTTAAAATTACATACTTCCAAACATCTCAACACCGTCCAAACACTTCATAAAGACCCAGTATTTTTTTCTTAAAAATGTTCTGATTTTGTTCATTGAAAAGGCAAAATTGTAATCAAGGAACATTGAAGAGAAAACAATTTGCTATTCAAATGCATCACTGATTTTATTCCTTTCCATTCTTGTCTTCTTTCCATTCTTGTCCATATACTTGCAATTCAGGGAGGCTTGTTTTCTAGTCTCAGCTCAGCCCTTAGCAAGTACAATCCCGAGAGAGAAGCTTAACTTTAACAAGTAGGAATAATTTCTGTCTCATTAATGTCACAGGGCTGTTATGAGATCCAGAGATAATGCAGGTGAAAATGCTTTGCATACTACACAGTGCCCCAAATGCCAACTATATTGCCATTTTATGTGGAGAGCAGCCAATCTGAAGACACGTGATTAAAACATGTGGCCTGAAGACACATGCAGATGTGCCCTTCCTTAAGCTACTCTAGCAGGGCTAAGAGAAGCATCTACATACGAAAGCAGCACCTGCCTGTTGTCAATGGCTGTCTTCCTGTTGTTGTTGATACCCAATACCTCCATAGTGCCCAGTATCAGGCTAAAGGAAGTCACAAGCCTTTATCAGATTGTCCCCCAAAAGGATCAGATAAATTATATGGCACCAGTCATTTTCATATCTTCAGTTGATTTACATCCAAAACCAACTGGCTTTGCATCCCAATTTCTCCCCCCTTATTCTCTTTGCATTCCACTTCCTACTTCCCCATTCCTTTTACATCCCATTTTCCCCTTCCCCCATTCTCTGCCCTTTAAAAGAATAAACCTGAGGCTGGTTCTGGTCGCAATTTCTCCATCAGAGAAGCTGTGCCCACTGATCCTCGCTTTTTTATACTTGTGTGTCTTTGTGTGTTTGTTATTGCGTCTATTTCTAATCCGCAGCCTTCCCCACTCAGGGAAACGTGTTCATGCCGAGCTGGTCCTGGCAATTTTAATCTAGGCTCTCCTTTCGTGACCATGTCTTCTGTCTCTCCGAAAGCTGCTGGCATCTGTTTTTAGAGGGTGATGAATATAAAGTAAAGAAAGAGAAAAGGATCTGCAAAGATTTCAGAGTATATGTCCCAAAGAAGAAAAAGCTGTAAAACACTTAACTCGATATCCTCAAGTCTGGGAAGGCCCATGACGAAGTAAGAGTGGGACCCAGCTGTCACTCTTTGCTCCCTAAGTAAATAAAGATGCTGTGGCTTCAATTGAAGGGGCATTCAAATTCTTTTGAGGTCAACTTCCTGGCTCTGGGGATGAGTACCCGCTAGAAGGAACTAGCATCATATAGGCTCTCCTGCTTTGAGTCTCAAAGAATGTCACTTTTGTCAAAGTCATGGACAAGCTCCTCCAAAACTTCATGGTGTAAAATAAACCTCATTTTCTTCTGCTCATGGATTCTGTGGCTCAGTTCAGACCAATCACCGCAGGAATGGTTTGTTTTTGACACAAGGTGATGGTGCCTCAGCTAGAAGGCTCACGAGACTGGGGACTGCTTACAGTAGGAGGTTAAAGTCATCTAAGTTTCTTCACTCAATGTCAGCACCAAGGTCATGCTAGGTCTCTCTCTCTCTTTCTCTATCTGTCTCTTTAATTTGCTATCGGGCACATATGCTTGCTGGAGAAGGACAGAGAGGGAGAAGGAACATGATAAAGCACTTCCCGGAAAGATGGCCAGCTGTGATCCCTTCTCCTCCATTCTCTCAGAATGTTGAACATGCACACACACGTGCCCAGTGTGTTTTTCAAGCTGCTGGGTCCAGGACTAGAACCATGCAGCTGGCCATGTGGGATCCAACCACCCTAACCTCCATACCACGGGCTTGCTTGGGTGTCTCTCTCCATAGAGTGCAAGACGTCATTGCACATGGCTTTTCCAGGGCCACTGCCTCAGGCTAGCTCAGGGCTGTAAGAGGAAATGTGAAAGCAGGTTAGCCTTGTCACTTTCTTTAATTTTTATTTTTGAACAACGTAAAACTAATTTTGTTTTATTGTTAAATAATTTTATTGAGGTATCATTGATAAACAAAGAACTGCACGTATTTAATATATATATAATGTGATGAGTTTGAACATCTAGGAACACCTGGGACACCACTGCACGATCAAGCTGATCAACACATTCAACACCTCCCAAAGTTTCCTTGCGTCCCCCTTTTTTTGGTGTGTGTATAGTATGAACGATCAACAGGAAACACACTCTCTCTAACAAACTTAGAAATGCACAAACCGCACTGTTAACTCCA